AAAAAAAAAAAAAGGAGTAAAAAGGAAATAAGGAAATATTACCAAACAAAAAAGGGAAGATAGAAGCAGGGAGAGACAGGAACTGAGAGACCGAGAGAGAAGGCTGGGGGCGCAGAGGGGGGCTCCCTACCGCTAGCTCTTTTGTTGGAGGCTGAATTATTAGTAGAAAGTCTTCATTCCCTTAAAAATCTAGTTCACAGTAGCCATGTGGAACCTTATCCTGAAGGCCCGTGGCTTCTTCTGCCGCTAGCTCTTTTGTTGGAGGCTGAATTATTAGTAGAAAGTCTTCATTCCCTTAAAAATCTAGTTCACAGTAGCCATGTGGAACCTTATCCTGAGGGCCCGTGGCTTCTTCTCTTTCTTTTTTAAAGATTTTTGCCTTAGGGCACATGTGCTCACTGGAGAGTGAGATTGACAGAAACAGTGAGAGGGAAAGTGAGAAATCACTTTCCGGATTGGATAGCCAAGGCACAATCCCTTCTCCTCCTTCCTCCTCCCGGGGATCTTAGGGACACACACACACACACCCAGCATGATTTTCAAGATGCTGGGTCTGGGACTCAAACCACGATCAGCCATGTGGGAGTCCAGCAATGTAAACATCACGTCATCTGCTGGCTCCATGTTCCTTTTTCTTAAAACAATGGTAATAATAATCTCATAGGATTGTTACGAAGACTAAATGAGATAGCATATGAAAAGCACTTAGCATTCTACAGGACACACATGGAATACTTTAGAATTAACTAGCTTTTTTTTTTCTTTTTTAAGTTTGACACTCTAACTCAATCTCCCTTTTTTCCCCATCATGTAATCATAGCTGAAAATTCCATCAACATGTTTATAAACTTTTAAGAAAGTCAGAAGCATAGTGATGAACATTAACATTCCCCATACTTGGCTAAAGAGCTCAGCCACATCAGGAAACATACCTGTGTTCTACAGCAGCAACTATAAACCCATGAGATGCCAGGTCAATGCCAATCGCAGAATAAATTGTCCTTCAAAATAAAAAGAGGGAAGCATTACAACTACCGGTCATGGTTACAAGGCTGGGTCTGCTAATAAACTGGGAACTGGGAGGCCATTACAACTCTGCAACAGCATCATTGAGAAGGGTAGGGAGCTGTGGTTTACAGTTGTAACTTTGCCCCTGAGGGAATATTTGAGGATATCTGGAGATATTTTGTCATAAATTCAGTGCGGGGAAAGTTCTACTGGCTCCCAGTAGATAAAGGGATACTACTAAATATCTTAATCGTGCCTAGGAAAACCCTCTAAATAAGAAATTACCTGGTTTAAATGGTCACTAGTACTGAAATTGAAAATCCTTGGTGTAGTGATTACAAATATTGTCTGTAAGAGTTTTCTTTAAAATTTATTCTTATTTATTCACATTTAAACACATATGTCTTTATAGTGTATAGCATTTCTTTCTCCAGTATGAATACCATGAATGTCAGTCAAGACAAATCTTGGTCTTGCCATTTACTAGCTAAATCACTTTAATTACTGTATTTTCATTCTCTTCCGTAAAATGGGGCTAATAATACAGTCTTTGCTTTAAAATAGTTGAAAAGTTTTGATAAAATGATGAAGGCAGTACAGTAAAGTAGTTAAGAGAACAGGACCTGCAACCATACCACCAACTCTGAATCCCAGTTCCACCACCTATTAGCTGTGTACCTTGGATAAGTCACCTCTCTTCTCGGCCTCAGTACTTTATTTGTAAAAGGTAATGCTATAATATGGTGCCTCACAGGTAAGGATCAAGTGAATTAATACATTTTCAGTTCTTATAACCATATCTGAAAACAGGTAAATACTTAAGACATATTAGCGGGACCAGCAGTTGGTGTAATGGCTATATCACTGTACTCCCATGTAGTCGACTGTGGTTTGAGTCCTGGACCTGGTGGCTTACACTCACACTGGACGTGCGTGCGTGTGTGCCCAAGATCCCGAGAGGAAAATGGAGGAGAAGGGACTGTGGAGTGGCCATCCCCCCTGGGGGGTGATTTCTTGCTTTCTGTCTCTCTGTCTCTCTGTCTTTCCGGTTAGTGCACGCCTCCTATAGCAAAAACCCCTCAAGAAAAAAAAAAATTAAAAAAAGACATATTAGCTATTTAAATGACTGGGCTGGGTGAAGTGGTTAAAAACATGCTGTGTTAAAAACAACTACATTTATATCCTCTCCCATGACTTCATTGTGTCCCATTTTTTTCTCATGTTATGCATTCAATAAGAAATGTTCAGAGAATAAAAAGGGGGAATTATATTTTCTAATGCTAAAGATATGTGGTCTTTTGAAAAGGGGGAAGTGATCATGTGAGAATCAGCAAACTTTTTCTGTTAAATGTCAGAGAATAAAAACTTGCAGCCTTTGTCACCACTGCTCAACTTTGCTGTTGTAGCACAAAAATAGCCACAATGTAAAAACAGAGGGTGTGGCTATGTTCTAGTAAAATTTTAATTTACATAAACAGGTAGCAGACTGGATTTGGCCCTCAGATTTTAATATGCCAATCTCTAGTGTAATACAAATATCTAGCCAGACTATGATTAAAGTAGTGAAAATTCTTTTTTAACTTAACTTTTAAAATTTACATTAATCACTGTACATTTTTATAGTGTACAAAATGGTTTTTCCCAGCATGAATGCAATGCAGTCAAATTAAAGATATCACCACATGCATTGTCATCAACAGAAACTTTTCATTTATGTGTTAAATGTTTCCCACTAACTCCCCTCCCCCCAGGTCCCCTCCTTCCCACCCCATTAAACCACCTCCTCCCATACTGTCTCTGGTGTCTACAGTTGTGCTCTCTGCCATCATGTCTTCCCATTTTCACCTTCTGCCGCAGAGTGCTGACACTCAGTATCTATTAGGCAAGGACATACCATGTCTCTTTTTCATAGTCTGGCTTGCTTTGCTTAGCATTAAATCTTCCCTATTCATCCACTTTGTATCAAATGTCAGGGTCTCATTTTTTTTGTGTGTGTGTGTGGCTAAGTAGGATTCCATAGCGTATATGTGCCACATTTTTTAAATCCAATCATCTTTTCTTGAGATTTGAGCTGATTCTATGTCTTAGCAATTGTGAATAATGCAGCAGCAAATATGGATATGCAAGTGTTTTTCCAACTGAGTGTTTCCCTATCCTTTAGGTAAATACCCAGGAGTTTCCCAGAATTACTGGTGGCATGGTAGTTTTGTTTTGTTTTGTTTTTGTACATTTTTGAGGAATCTCCATATGTTCCCCACAGTGGCTGTACTAATTTACATTCCCAAGAACAGTATAGGAGGGTTCCCTTTTCAACACAACCTTGCCAGTGCTTGTCATCACATAACCTCCAGCACTTATCATTATTATTATTTTTTTAATCTTCGCAATTCTGACTGGGGTTAAGTGGTATCTCATGGTGTTTTGATGTGCATGTCCTTTTTGCTAAGAGATACTAAACATTTTTTCTTTCATGTATTTTTTTGTCATTTATATGTCTTCTTTGGAGAGTTCTCTGTTCAGCTCATTTGTCTATTTTTTAATTGGATTGTTTATTTTTCTGAAGGTAAGCTGCTTAAGTTCCCTGTATCAGTCCCTTATCTGAGGCATAGTTTGCAAATATATTCTCCCATTTTGAGGGTTGTCTCTTCACTCTAATTGTTATTTCTTTTGCTGTGCAGAATCTTTATAGCTTGATGAAGTCCCACTTGTCTATTTTTGAGATTATTGCTTGATCACAGATACTACCCAACTTCTTCCCAACTAAAAGCCACATTTTATTTTCTGGAGTTTTACAATCTCCTGAGGTGAAGAAATAGAGTCAATTTGAGAAGATGGATGAAAATGGAAAGAGTGGTTCTCATTGAAATAGTCACTCAGTGTGCTACAGAGAACATAGTTTACTAAAGACTCTATCTAACTCCGGCCCCTCTAGATCCAGCCTCATGTTTAAGTGGAAGCTGAGTTTCCTCAGGTGATTTGGAACAGCTTGGTACTAACATAGGACTCTACTTGTAAGACTGACTCATTTGACAAGTAACTTTATGTCAGGTATTCCCTCCACCTAACCTTAGAACTATGCTGCAGTCTGAGACTTCTTTCTTAGCCCTTCCCCATTTCCTTTCTAGGTGTCCAACCTATATCACGGTCTAAAGGCCCTCATTTCCTGCTCCTCATACTCTGTCCTTCACAGGCATTTCCCCTAATAAATGTCTTTCACTGCTAATTCAATCTACCTGTCTGTTTCTCAAAACACCTGAACCAACACAGATGATCATTTTGAAAGTGTAAATACAGAATGACAAAAAACAACAATGCAGCACAATCTCTCTTCTATTTTGAGGCTAATCTGCAAGTGCTGGAAGGAGGGAAAATAGTACTTGGCCAGATTGACCAGACAAGGACTAGGCTAGCACTGATCAATAGACTATGCTCAATTCCTGAGGAATACTAACTCTTCCAGGACAAGGGCTGATATGACATTCCAAAATGTGCTGGGGTTTATTGGAAAAAAAAATTCAGGTATTTAATACCTAAAAACTAACGTTGTTCACCTTCAAATATTACCTGAAAGCTCCAAGACCATGAGAAAAAATAATTAATGGATATCTTTCACCAGTTCTCAGAGGGGCGTTCCAGTTTGCAGGAGTTGTCATTGAACCTAGAAAACAATGGGAGATTACAGTAAGTGTTTTCTCTGACTTGAATATTGCTAGTTAATTTAATTTACAATTTCTTAGCACACAGTCCAGACCTGTGGAATTTACAACTATATTTTTATAGATTGATAATAAATTTATTAAAAAGTATGTTACTAGATACTCAGAAACCAAAAACCTAAACCACATGTTTTTTTCCTCAGACCACAGGATCACTAATTATCAGTTCTCACTGTCAGCTCTCAAGATGGAAGATTTTTCTACTTTCAAGTATATTCAGGAATCTGTTTCTTATTATCATTTCCATATTTTTGAAAAACTTCAAAGGGAATGTTCTGAAGCCAAAATACCCGGTAAACCTCAGGACCATTATTACACTAAGAGTCAGAATTGGAGAATTGGAGAGTCCACTTATTATGATTCAGTCACGATCCAGCAAAAGGTGGAGAGACCATGGATTCATATCCAACATGGCTTAGCATACAGTACCACACTTATCAGCTTTGACCTTGAGCAGTTACTGAGACGCTCTGAACCTCAGTTCCTCTTTTGTAAATCAAAGGAAATGATAGCTATCTCATACAGTTTTGAGAATTCTCTTTAATTACATAATATATGTAAAGCACCTATCCAGACACATAATAATGGCTTACATATGGAAGCTACAGTCTTTTCTTCCTTCACTTCTCAATTGTTATTATTGTTGTTATTAGAAATTATTTGTGCTTCCTTTTCTTATCTATAAAATGGAGATGTGGTCATGAACATTAAATGTGATTATTGCTATGGAAGTGATTCAAAATTTATTCAGCACTGTACAGAGGTGTAGTTATGGTACTTTCATCACTTATATTATATTTTTTCAAAAAACTCTTAAGGAGATATTTTTTAAAAATTCCCACACTGTGGGTAGCTTTGAGGGAGAAAGTTGGAGACATAGTTAACACCAGCCCAGTGGTAGTGTCTGAATGAATAGGTAAGGGTGGAAAAGTGTAATATAGACAAATTAAGTGATAAATGCACATGAAACTATCTTGGTGAGAGAGGTTGGTCCCATAGGAGAAGGTGATGGAAATGAGAAGAGAGTTTTCTCAATTCTGACCAGTAAGAAACTAGCATTGACTCCATTGTTCAGGATCTATAGTGATGGTGGTTTCTACTGTCATTCTCTTTTAGTCCATCTTTATAAGGACTTTGGCATAGGATATACAAAATGCTGCCTAATGAAGAACCTGCTATTCTCACTACATTATGGCTACCCCCATGATATGTAAGAAGATCAGCTAAAGAGTAGCCATAGAAAGCTGTTGGAGTCAGTCTTCATACTCTCACCTCCTCCCATCAGCTTCAGCATGGACAACATGAGAACCCTTGATTCTTTCAGAGTTGTCTGGCCTTTTAAGAATTACCTCCCTTGTCATCTTGGAGAACTTTAGATGAGAAAATCAACTTTGGTCTAAATTGCCTAAAATCCATGTTGTTTTCTAATATTGTAGAGTCTGCAAATTAGGGTCAACAGAAATCTTACCAAAGAATGAGTTCAAAATTTTGCCCATCAGCCAATCTGTTCCAAGAAATTTACTAAGACCCAAAAAATATTCTTTGTTTGGGATCCAAAGGGTGTCATGGTGGGTATCATCTTTAGACGGATAATACAAACGTAATAAGGTGCTCTGTTGAGGAAAAAAATATATATATTTTAGTCAAATTGCTTTTTAAAGAGATTCCAACAGCTTTTGTGCATATTTAATCAGTAGGCCCTCAAATACTTCTGTGGCTCATGAAGAGGTCCAGAGAAATTTTAAGCTGCTGTGATTACTGAATACAGTCATGACAGAAAAGAGTAATAGAATGATGATATGCTTTCTGAGTGAAAAGATAACATGAGTAACTGGGTATTGGCCACTAAGTAAGAGGAACATAACATTTATAGATTAAATAATCAGATGACTGCAAATAATGAGGGAATGACTAAAGTAGCAAAAGACTTCATATGAAGTAATATAAATGGCAACGTGAGTCATTCTCAAGTGAGGGAAAGATCAAGCTTCAACACCTTCTAATGGGCCAAGGCCACAGTCAATATTAGACTAAGGATAAGGTGTATTAATCAAAGCATTACCTTTTTAGTATAACCAATCATCAAGTCTGTACAACCAACAGAATAAGGTCCATTTCCTCTGGGGATTTTAGTTCGGTCAAAGCTTGTAGCAGCCATCAGCGCTTGTATCTTATTGACCCATGCTGAAAAACATTTGTCATCCATTATTTTCCAAACTTTATTGTGCAAAGGAATTCTAAGGGAATCACGTTTTTGCCCATAGTTTGTGTCTTCCTTCATTTCTTAACCTCAGTTGTAAAATACGTAAGTAATTGTTGAAAGCCTTCTGTGTGCAAAGTATAACGTGGGTGTTCGGAGGGCAAAAAAATGGAGGTAGACATAGGTCTTCTAAGATATAGAGCAATATCACCTCCTAAGACACACTTACTCTCAGCTTGACTTCTCTCTAGAATATATTAAAGATGGCTTTCCAAATCTATATTTTTCTAAACATGAAGTTTATCTTGCATTTCGGATCTGTGCTTACAGCATTTCAACCTGATATCCTTCCTGAAGGAATGTCAAAGCCGCTGGTACAAAATGAAACTAATTACCATATTCCAACTTCCTCTTCTCTTCCCTCCAACCACATAGCCTACAACTCCACAATTCTGTCTCCTGCATCCCAGACCAGAAACCAGAGAATCATCCTACTCCACTGCTTCTCACCAACCCCATACATTCAACCCAGTTTTGATTTCTAACATTTGCTTTTAGTGTAGAATTACCTCCTCAGTATATTTCTGACACTTTGACTCAACGGTCTCATTTAAATCCTTAGTATCAGGCATTTGTCATCTCTCCTAATTGTTCTATCCACTTTTGGTCTTCGCTCTTTCGAATACTTCCTTTACAGTTCCTGGGGTGACTTAAAGCACATATATCACCAGGCAATTCTTAAAATCCTTTAATGGCTTCCTATCACCAAGTGGTTTTTCTTGAAGGTGCAGTGTGTTGGAATCTTTTTGGAAGGTAGTTTGTCAGAGGTATTTAAATGTATACAAGCAAATTCATTTCTACTTGAGACACAAATGTGGCCAATCCTTCCAGCTCTGGGGCTGAAATGTGTTGAGGTTCACAGGTGCATGAATTAGATCCCAGGTTCCTGGGCACTATAAAGAAGACCCTCCATGATCTAGGTCCACTGCTTCATACTTATCTTTGGCTTTTTCCCCTTAAGTTACCTCCCTTTCTGTGGTCCACCACTCCTGAGCCACTCACTGGGCTATTTGATACCTCTTCCTCTTTGTAAATGTCATTGCCTGTGCTTAATATTCCTTAGCAAACTCCTATTCAACCTCTCACATCTTGATGGGATGTCATGTCTCCTCTGAAGCTATTCTTCATTGTTCTGCAGACTATATATATATATAATCATATACTAACACATTATATTAAAATTATGGTTTTGTGCATTCTGTGTTCCACAATAGGCTTTTTTTTTGTTTTTGAGAGGTTTTTGCTATCGGGCACGTGCACTCACCAGGAAGACAGAGAGAGACAGAGAGACAGAAAGCGAGAAATCACCCCCCAGGGGGATGGTCACGCCGCAATCCCTTCTCCTCCATTCTCCTCTTGGGATCTTGGGCACGCACGCACACATGCCTGGCATTAGTTTTAAGCCACCAGGTCCAGGACTCGAACCGTGGTTGACTACATGGGAGTCCAGCGACATAGCCATTATGCTAACTGCTGGTTCCCACAATAGGCTATTTCTTAAGAGCTGTATCAATGCCTTTATATCCTCTGATCTTAACACAGTGCCTAGCACATCAGTGGTACTCAATAAATATTTGTAAAAATGAACTGAGCTAAACAGAAGTGCTGCTGACTTCTTGTTCTTCTTTCAAACCCTTTATCATACAGATTCTTTTACCCACCCAATCCTAAAATTTCTTTTCTCCCCTTGGTGCCTAAATCATTCTGTACAACTGTAGCTTCCTTTTTAAATCTAGACTGAATCCATACTCAATTTCAAGACGTAGAGTCCAAATGTCAGTATATCAGACTCGTGCTTTTTGTGATATGTTTGGCTTGCCCACCTTGTCTCCTCTATTGGACTGTGGGAGCTGACCTGCTGGGAAGACTCTTCTGTGTTTGCCAGCACTCTCTGCCTCTGCCAGTCAGACACCAAGGACCATGTTAAGTATAGTACCTGAATGAATATTGTAGAGCACTGCCCAATGAAGGCTTTGAGTCATTTAGATCCTCCACACTGCTGACCCAGGTATGATGCACCTGCCAGTGAGGAAGCCTTTTGATATACAAGGTCTTCAACCCCAAGCTGATCCAAGGACTGGCATCAGCGGCACCACTTAGAGCTTGGAAACGCAGGCTCTTGGACACCACCCCAATTCTACTGAACTAGGTGTGCCCACTAAAGTAAAAAGACCACTGGACTAATGTACCAAACCACCTGGCTTAACAGAGGTCAGCAGTCCACGGTCAAATGGTATAAAGTGGCTCCAAGGAAGGCAGGGGGGTGAAAAGAACCAATTCCGAGAACAGATTCCAGGTGATTTTATTTCAGAATCTGGGTAAACTTCTCATAAGTTATCAGGTTGTTGGAAAAGCCATGGTGCGTTTTTGCACCATGACTTTTCCAACAACCAATATAATGCTCTGGCCTAGGCAGTTTGCTTCCCTCTCTGATCCTCTTCTGTAAAGTGGGGATAAAAGTACTTGACCAACCTGCAGTTGTAAGGATGAAGTGATAATGTAGGTTAAGTACCTAGGACAGAACATGACACCTGACAGGTAGACAACTGACTAAAGGTATCTCTTTCCCCAGAATCAGTTAACTCTGGCTAGTCCAATGCATGATGAAGTCCATAGAGGAGTTTTAGCAGATCTAAACTGGAGCGTACAGCTTTTTCTTTGGGCAGATTCAAGCATTCCCTCACAAGAGTTCTGTTTTTTAACTGTAAGATGAACATTTAGGGTCTATTTAGAATTATAAAAGGCTCTTCTTCTCCAACTAAGACTAACTGTTGAGCCATGCTTCAAGGTATAACAGGGAGATGATGGGTCCAAAGGACCATAGGAAGTTCACACCTGCCCTTCTTTCTGGAATGAGAAACCCTTGAGCTGCTCCACCCCATCCATCACAGCCATGGATACAGCTATCCAGAGCTGGTAAGAAAAGAACTCTGGTTCACAGAGTTCAATGAGAAGCTCCAGAACCTATAGTTTCCTTGGAAACACCACCTCTAGAATTGGGGGTTCAGTTCTAAGCCATGGGAGGGTTTTATTCTGCACAAAGTTTTCCTTGTGAGGTCTCAATTTCTCTGAGGTCCTGGAACATTTTTCTGGCAACTTTATCCAGCATTCGGGAACCACATGTCAAAGTGAGGCTATAGTTCTGCCTATTCCAGAATATTGGACCTTTTGAAGATCTCAGGAAATATCAAGCTGGTACAGTTTTGGGTATGGATCTACAGGGGTCTGTGGCTGACCAGGGCCAGGGTGCTGCAGAAAAGGTTTAGCAGTCTGCTGCTAACCAGATCATGGGTCTGGACTTCCCCTACTCTAACCATCTACCAGGACTCATTACAAAGGAAGTGGAGCGAGACTTGTCAGGTTAAATGGCCACTCTCTAGATGATAGTGTTTTTTTGTTTTGTTTTGTTTTTGAGAGGTTTTTGCTATAGGGCGCGTGCACTCGCCAGACAGATAGAGAGAGACAGAAAGTGAGAAATCACGCCCCCCCAGGGGGGATAGCCATGCCACAATCCCTTCTCCTCCATTCTCCTCTTGGGATCTTGGGCATGCACGCACACGTGCCCGGCATGAGTTTAAGCCACCGGGTCTGGGATTTGAACCATGGTCGACTACGTGGGAGTCTAGTGACATAGCCATTACGCTAACTGCTGGTCCCCTAGATGATAGTGTTTTGTGAGTCAAATTTTCTAAGTATTTCTTCCTATTCTTCCTCAACTCTATTTTAATAGAACCTATAATATGCTATTAATGTTACAACAGATTTTTGATGATGTCCATTTGTCAAATAATCCTGATACCTGATCTTGGGACTGAAGATAAATTGTATATATCTGTAGGAAAATTAAACTACCTTATATGGCCTTTTGTTCTCCATTAGCAAATAAGATATCGCTTGTCCATACTTACAAGTCTTTTACTTACATATTCACATTCTCTATGTATTTATTTAGCAATAAATTATAAGGAATCACCCCCCCTTTTTTTTTTTGGAGAGGTTTTCGCTATAGGGCGCATGCACTCGCTGGAGAGACAGAAAGTGAGAAATCATCCCCCAGGGGGGATATCCATGCTGCAATCCCTTCTCCTCCATTCTCCTCTTGGGATCTTGGGCATGCACGCACATGCGCCTGGCATGAATTTAAGCCACCGGGTCCAGGACTTGAACCGCGGTCGACTACATGGGAGTTCAGCGACATAGCTGTTATGCTAACTGCTGGTCCCAGGAATCACCTATTTTTAATCTCATATTTAATAAGCTATTTCTAATGTTGAAAAATATTTATACAGTAATTTCTGAGCATTTAGAATGAGTAGGGCATTGGGCTCAATACCAGCACTACAAAGATGGATAAACCAATCTCTATCCTCAAGTTTCTGCCAGTCCAGTGAAAACTTTCCAGTGATGTTTAAACAGAAGGGGACAGAATACATTTTTAAAAATTTACTCCTTACCAATAAAAGTGTATGATATAAATGTCACTTAGATGATCATATAATATATGACCTATTTTTGATTCATGGAAAAGGTAATGGGAAAAATGAACTGAGTTTCAACCAGGCTGCGGGATCCTTGAATCTGACTAATAACTCTTGGTCTTAGTCACCAGTGTACTCCAGTACCTTCACTTCCTGGTAAGTGCTATGGGATGAATGGACCTGTAAGATATTACTTCATTTTCTACATAAATGTAAATGTAAGATACAGTCCCTCTCCTACTAAAGCATTCATTTATCCAATTATGAAATAGGGTAACATTTATCTATGAGGCAATGAGTTATGAAAGCTCCTTTATAAATGCTGTCATGAGAAGTGCCTGTCAAGCCTGAATGACTAGATCTAGAGTGACCACATCTAACCAGGTCTGTGGACATGATACTATTTAGAAACCACCTACACTGTTCTTCATGGGAAATTAGATAGAGAAGTTTATGCATCTCAACATTTGGGGATGAAAAGAATTCACAAAGCTCCTGTAGCAACCTCTTTGCAGTAAGGGTCTTGCTTAATGATATTAAATACACCTATCTAGAGATGGCTATCCCATTCTGAGCACTCTTTCTGGATTTATCTAAGCTTTCCTCTCCTTTCCTTTCCTCCTTACCATGAGTTTAGAAAGAGCAAAATATCACATCCATTCTTATCTCGAGCTCTTTGTCCTCACTTGTCCCTTTTTTTTAGGTAGAAAAGATTGTTGCCCTTTGGATCCCAAGACCCTAAACTGTCATCTCACACCACCTTCTACTACGAACCAAGATTATGCCTGTTGATCAAGACATCTCCTCCCTCTTCCCTGTCCTGAAATAGGTTTTGAGGTTTCCTTGGAGTGGACCCCAGAGCCATTATGCTACTGCACTAAGGTAGGAGTGCATTAGGACAGTGGGGGGAGAGAAGGGATGACATTGAGGACATTCTCCACACTGACTGCAAGCTAAGCTTCCAGTGTGAGTTGAAGTGGCTCATCCTGGTTCTGTCTGTCCTGCAGACATGATATTGAGACACACAGGCACTTTTTCAGTTTCAGTTGCAATGAAAAAAAAAAAAACCCACAGGTTCTCACCTCTATCCTGGGAAGGTCTCTATGAACCCTATGAGGACACTTGCAGTCATGCAACAGTTCAGTTGCCCAGCTCTTGAAGAAATATATCTCTTACCTGACGATTTAATATGGGTGACAGGATTTAGGTCTTGCCAGTCAAAAGGACGAACTAGTGTGAAGCAGCTGCAGAGGCAGAAAAGCGCATGCAATTTGGATGGCACCATCTTGAGGGCTGAGAACTTTCAGTTTAACCTTCTTCAAAGCAGATGATTGAAAGAAAAAAAGGAAACAAACATGTAATGAAAAAAGGATGTAAGTAGTTAGACAAATCAGTAAGGCTGAGGTCTAGTAACATTTGGAAAAAATGGAACATGCACGTTATGGGGTAGGTTTTAGACAGCACTAAGGGTGGCAGAATCCTTGGAAATGCTGGATTTTTCAGCACAAAAGTTATATGTTTAGACAGTTATATAAAGTTTTTGATTATCAGCTCTCTAACTTCATCACAGTCTAGTTTATTTATATAAATAGAAGCAAAATATAATTCCAATAACCATATATTTTCATTATAATAACACCCACAAGTATGTCTAGCACATAGTAAACAGTTAATAAGGTTTGCCTAATGCTATCATCATAATTATGGTGATTATATTGCTTCTGCTTTGGTCATGATTCTTGGTGTTATCAATGTTATATTGTTAGTGCATTCTGTAATCCACCCTTCCAAAAGTCAAAGGTCAGGTCTGATTTGTTGTCCCCAATGCCTAACAGAATGCCTGGCAAGTAGCTGGTGCTGAATAAATGTTTGTTGAATTACTGAATGAAACAACAGACTATAGGATTCATGGTAATACTAAGTTAAATTACAATTTGGCTCTCTGTTAACATCTACTTAGCAAAAACGATTTTATTCTTGTGTATCACTTTTCCCTTTTAAAAGTGGTCCCTTCAACTTTTTGGGGTGATGGAAATGGTCCAAGCTACCACCTTCTCTCACTTGAATTTTGGAAACAGCCTCTAACTGACCTCCCTGCTTCCAACCTTTCCCCTATATTTCCAACACTGCAAGCAGAACAATCATGCCAGTCTTCTGCTCAACATCCCCAAGTGGCTATATCCCAGAGCAAAAGCCATAGACTATAAGGCTCTACAGCATATAAGGCTCTGCACAGTCTGTCAACAGACTCCCAATGCCACCACTAATGGCTTTTGCACACTTGCTGCAATCACACTTCCTTACCACCCACCAGGCATCCACTGTGCCTCTCCCTCATTCCTGCCTTGGGGTCTTTGCACTTGTTTCCTCCTATAGGAGGGCTCTTCCTGACACCCCAGTGATTGGCCTTATCACTTTCAAGGTTTTGTTGCAACGTAACCATCTTGGACAGTCTTTCCCTGATCAACCTATTGAAAATCACAATTCATCTCCCTTCCCCACACCAATACATGCCCAGTTTCCCTTTGTACTTGTCTCCCGAAACATATCCCCAGCTAATGTGTCGTGTAGATTATTTGTTAATTGTTTATCTTCTCCCACTGGAAACTCAGTTCTGTGAGTACAGAAACATGTGACTCTTTTTCTCACCTGTTGTATTCTCAGGACCTAGAATAGTGCCTGGCACACAGTAGGCACTCAATAAATTCTAAACCCTACTGATTTCTAATACACGGGTACTAACACAAACTAAGCCAACTGAAGGATCCATGTGAGTAGTAATTATCACTGGTAATAATGGGGAACTACCTAGTTGGTATTGGGACTTGTAGGAAGACATACTATGGACATTGGCACAGACAGTTCATGCTCCTGAATGTCTCTGTGCTCCCCTCATTTCTTGGCCTTCCTTGTGGCTGGACTAGGGACATGAGACTGATTTTTGACAAGTGGAAATCTGAATAGAATTGGTCTGAGACACTTAAGAGTCAACGTGTCTCTTCCTTCCGTTTCTTTCCCTGACGACAAACTCAGAAGCTACATGCTGACAAAGAAGAGTCTCGTCATGGAGGAAGCCAAGATCCCCACTCAGAACAGAGAAGAGGTCCATCCACTTCACGTGATCTTCATGAATAGGAAATAAATCTCTGCTGAGTAAAGGCACAGGTTAAGTGGACAGTGGGTCCTTGTTGCACAGCATGGCCTATTCTAATACAAGCTCTGCAGTCAGTCATTCAGTCAAATGTTTTTTATTAAGCAAATACTAGAGACACTCTACTATGGCAATATGTGATAAATACCAGAGAATTTGACACAGTACCAGCTCTAAAATAAGTTTACAATTGGGTTTCAGAAACAAACTAGCATATATATATACATACACACACACACACATATACATGTGTGTGTGTATAAAATAACAGAAGAAAAAATAGTTTTTTATTTTTTTGGAGAGGTTTTTGCTATAGGGCGTGTGCGCTCACCAGAAAAACAGAGAGAGATAGAGAGACAGAAAGCGAGAAATCATCCCCCAGAGGGGATGATCACACCGCAATCCCTTCTCCTCCATTCTCCTCTCAGGATCTTGGGCACGCACTAACGCACATGCTCACAGCGTGAGTTTAAGCCATCGGGTCCGGGACTTGAACCGTGGTTGACTACATGGGAGTCCAGCAACATAGCCATTACGCTAACTGTTGGTCCCAAAAAATATTCAGAGACATTTAAAAATTCTTAAATAATATGGTATAAATTCTAGGGAAACAAGAATTCAGAGAGGAAGGTTTCAGATGAGATTGAGCTGTAACGAGGTAGCTCTTAACACACAGGTTATAAAAACCTGGAGAGATAGTTGTAAAAATTGTCACTGGAACACTAAGCTTCTTGGGCTACTTACAGAGCCATTGTACTACCTTAGCACTTTTTGTTGCTGTTGTTCAGAAAATAAGTGTGGATGATGCAACCCTTTAAGATTATTTATAATTTTATTTTTATCTTATTCAGTATTTTTTTTATAGTTACATGGTTTCAAAAATCCAAACATGCCAGGGCTATGTAAATAAAAATTGACTTGTCAGCGCAGTGATAATGACTTGCTAATGGATTTTTTCCAGACATATTTTTACATTCAACTACATGCACACATATAATACTGACACAGATAAACATATACCTATACATACATAAAAATGCATATACACAAATATACATACATATATATTTTTAAAATCTGTTTACAAAACTTCATGTTATATACTCAACTTACTATTTTAAATTTTTTTAGAATTACTTAATTTAGGGCCGGCAGATAGTGTGGTGGTTAAGGGTACTGGACTCCCACATGGCCGAATGCAGTTTGAGTCCCAGACCTCATGGCTTGCTTTCTTACTTTCTCTGTCACTCGCTCGCTCTGTTCCTCTGTCCCTCTCTGGTCAAATTAAATAAATAAATAATAAAGTTAAATAAAATTTTTTAAAAAAGAATTATTTATATAAAAAGGAATTACTTAATTTAATTTTAATCTGTCATTATTATTATTGGTTAATTCACCAGAGAGGGACAGAGAGAGAGAGAGAGAGAAAGAGAGTGAGAAAACAAGTCACCACGTCTGGGACTCAAACCATGGTCAGCTATGCAGGAATCCAGTGCCTTACCCAGCACACCATCTACTGGCCCCTCAATTTACTCTTTAATTTCATATTATGTTATAGATATCGTTTTGTGTCAGTACTCAGTACTATAATTTCTCTTATTTTAAAATGGCACTGGGGATTTATGAAAAAATTTCATTCACTAAATACATAATATTGCTGACATTTGAACACTTATTATATGCTAAGCATTTTGCACAGTTCCCAGTACAAAGTATCCTATTTAATCATCACCAAAAAAATCCATGAGGGATGTTTAATATTCCCATTCTATTTGTTTAAGTTTATTTATTTATTTCCTCCATAAGAGGGAAAGACAAAGAGACACCTCCAACAGGGTCATCACACCATGATTCATTCCTAGTTTCAGCTGGTTTAGCTCATGGACAAGTGCCCAGAATACTTACACAGGTCCAGGGATGAGAACCTAACACCTTCCTCACATGAACCCAATTGCTCTATCACTGTGCTATTGCCTGGTTAATATCTCCATTGTATTGATGAGGAACTAAGGCAAGAAGAGTTTGAGTGGTATGAATTACATAACTAGCAATTACTGGAAGTATGGCTCATACCCAGAATGTCTGAATCCTGGCTTTCAACTAAAATATATCTATTGATTAGAGTCCATTTTTTTTTTTGCTCTAAAATTGTAATCTCCTAGAATTAGTGAGCAGAACTACCATTTAAATAATGTTAATGTATTCAGAAACTGTTTTCTGGATTGAGAGGATGACTTAGAGTTAGAAATTGTTCTTGAAAGAGAGTAAGACTCTGTCTCATTGTTCTTGCCCTAAATTATGTTTAGAGCCATGTGTTGAGACTCTTGGAAACTGCAAAAGACTATGTATAAATCCAGAGAAAGAGCTACTGAGTATACCAAGTAAGCAACAGAAGACGTTGATCCAAAGCCAGGCTATATACCCTCACCAGTTTGCACAACTACTTTTCTGCTATGTCACAACCTGGTTTTTCATCAAATAACATCATCCACAAATTGTTCCCAACCCTGAGGCTTACAACCTATGACCAGATAAATATGATGTCCTCAGCCCATTTAGAAGTTCAAAAAGGAAGACAAAATAAAAACATTTAAGAAATTAATGGCAATTTTTAGGAACACTGCTCTAACTCAAAGATTAACATGCCCACAGTTCCTTGGTATTTGCCACTCTAATCTGTCACTAATCTCAGGAAGCATTAAAGACAGCTAAGTGCTGACCCATCTTCTCTAAATCCTCCAAGCAGGACCAGGGTAGTCTGCCATGCCCATGTTTCCTACCAGACCAGTGCCAGAGTCTCTGCCTTCAGTCCTCACTTTGGAGAAGAGCAGAATAAAGGCCAGGTGAAATGGCACACAAGGATTCCCAACGTGACTTCTTGAGAAGCCTTTGAACATAGTGAGCCCCACCACGGGAAGGCAGGCCCAGCTTCTGCATTTGAGCTCCCTGGGCCCCTCATACAGACAAGCCCAGAAAGTAGTGTCCAGAAATTGTTGTAGAATGAGAGTACTATTTGTCTAGACATTTTTCACTATCCTATTATATGTGATGTCTGATCTCATGCTCAAAGTCAAAATCCTCTAATTTAATGATGGGCTGACTCATTCAATCATTTGTGTATTCATTTACTCAATTTTTAAGAGTGCCAATTGTTAGTCACTATAT